CTGCGGGAGAAACTATCTCGTTAGGCATGGATCGAAAGCGTGTATCACGTATGATACTTGACAGATAAAAGTACAAGTGATGGTGTCCTTAATGACGAAATCTGAATATGTTGGACAGAGTACCTTTCGACTACAGATTAGTTGGGTGGTTGATTCTTTAGCGGCATATCAACACATCAATGGGTTATTTAATTGCGAAATCTCAATATTTTGAACACGATTTTATGATTTCATCTAAATGTATTTTGAACACAACTGTATGCTTTCAGCTTTAGACTGGTTGGTTGGTTGATTTTTTTAGCGGCATATCAACACATCAATGGGTTATTTAATTGCGAAATCTAAATATTTTGAAGATTTTATGGCATTACCTAAATGCATTTTGAACACAATTGTATTTTAACTACAGATCGGTTGGTTGTTGATTTTTTAGTGGCATATCAACATATATATGGATAATTTAATGGCGAAATCTAAATATTTCGAATACAGTTTTATGACTTCAGTTACAGAATGAATTCATTGTTGATTATTATGCCATAAGTTGTATTCTTCTGAAGTCTTCTTTAAAAATTTATTGTTAACTTTTCATGTCAAAATGTATTGCTGGTATTTTCAATATAAAAATAAATTTTCTTCTTTCATAGTGTTTTCTTTGGGAGTTCACTATTTGCCCATAGCTAGGACCCTAACAGGTTCTACCACCCCGGATCACGATGGATCAGGAAACAACAGAAACTAAGAGGTTGTTCCACGCTCCTCAAAACCTCCAATCGCCCGACCAGAAGCCTTGCTGCCGGATGTAGTCAATCATCATAACCAGGATTAGACGATTTCGAATTCTAATAGTGCTTGTTACATAAATTACCCGTAAATATTCTTTGAGGAAGGTGTGAATAAATCTTCTTTCCGCCCTCCTATAGGTTAAATAGTAAGTCTTGTATCTGGAAAATCAATGTTATTCCCCAAAAAATGTTGATGCAATATTTACTCGAAGAAGAATAATTTTTCGTTGAATCCATAATGCACATAATATTTATATTCAGACTATTATCCTCATCTTTGTTTTTGCTATCACAACGTTTCTCAGGTGCATATCGATCTGCAGGGACAGCAAAGATTAGGAGTATAACCAGAATACAAATAAGCTAAATAACAATAACTCCACATACCAGCAATACAGAAAGAAATTCATAATATAATTCTGCTTTAAATACCCCACAAAAGGTAGATAACTCGTAAAAAATCAAAATTTCAGAATCCATAAATATTCATACCAAAAATTCAGAAAAATTAGTAAAAAAACAAAATATCAAAGACAAAATTTCAAAAATAATAACTACTCATACCTGAAATACAGACCGAATTCAATATGTTTCAACTTTAAATAATCCACAAAAGGTAGGTAACCCGTAAAAAACAAATAATCAAAAATAAGATTTTAAAAATGATTAATACTCATACCAGAAATTCAGACTGAAATCCATATGATTCGGCTGTAAATGAACCAACAAAAGGTAGATAACGCATAAAAAAAACAAATAAATCAAAAACAAATTTTGAACAATGACATCTGAGTAAAACGTTACTATAAATATTTTTAGACTGATAGATACGAATGATTTTTCGTTGTTTTTTTTGGGGGGGGTGTTGACAAGTTATTCGTGTAGAGCAATGATAACTAACACTTTCATTTCCAATTCTAGTTCATTTCTACGATAGAGCCAAGTTGATAACCTTATTATTATTATTATTTAAATCATGCATTTCTTTTTTATTTTATTGACGCATTTGTGTGTTCAAGTTGCTTGATTACAATGCTCGACATGTGTTAGCGAAAATGAGGGTCGTAATCTTATGGATCTGCCATATTGGATAAACAATGGACGAAAGCGTCCATTTCGCTTCACCTTCGTTTCTCCCGCTTGAAGCTGTTTGTGCTATTCATTTGCGCACTTCCGCCTCGTTTCCATTTCTTTCCGCTTTGCTCCATTTTCTTTGAAATAAAAACAAGAGGGCGAATAAATCGTTTCCGTCAGACAAACAGCGACAGTGTCGCGCCAATTCAATCAAGAGACTTGCCGATTGTCAAAAATACTTCCACTTAGCTTATGCCTGATTCATGATTGCTGGGGGTTTCTCAATTCTCAATTCTTTAGTGATTCAACGTCTATCTATCTATCTATCTATCTATCTATCTATCTATCTATCTATCTATATATCTACCTACCTACACACCTACACACACACACACACACACACACACACACATATATATACATATATATATATATATATATATATATATATATATATATATATATATATCTGTTTTCTATCTATGCACATAAATATAAGTTTGGAGGTCTTAAACTTTCTTTCTCTATACATCTCGCTCAATACACACACACACATGCACACACTTATATATATATATATATATATATATATATATATATATATATATATATATATATATATATATATATATATATATAAGCGACAGATTATATGTGTACCAACAAGAGAAATGTGTATTTTTAAAGAGCAATAATCAGCCGCAATTTTATATACTATACTTTATTTTCCATTTTATTTGCAAAAATATCGAAAATAACGTATAATATATATAAAAATCCACATTAATACCAAAAAATTTGCCGCTTATCTCTTCTCTTTAATATATATATATATATATATATATATATATATATATATATATACATAAACATATATATAATACAAACACACACACATATACACATACACATACATATATATATATATATATATATATATATATATATATATATATATAGATATAGATAGATAGATAGATAGATAGATAGATAGATAGAAAAAAGTGAAATTTTTAGAAAAGTCCGTACAAAACTTGCTTTAGATTTTGGAAAACACCTAATAATATATGTATTTATATGGAATATCTATAATACATGTAGATTCACAGAAATTTAATAAAATTAAAATCGTTTTACTTATATGTGATTGTCAGAAAAAATGTGTTACTTTAACTGATTTCAGTTTGAGCTTTTCAAAAAGTTTTTAAATGTTTATATTCCCACTAATTGACGCTTTTGTTTTAAATATAATATAAAATCAAGGGGTCCATCTGGTTTTATATGTCGCTTATAGTAAAGAAAAGAACATATTTTGAGAGATGGGCCTCTTGTTTACATAGTGAACTGAGTTTTTGTTTAAACTTGCTGATAAATATTTCATTATAAATGCACTTTTCTTCCGTGATTTTGTAGTCGCTTGGTAGAATGAGATGATATTAAAATTGGTCAGATTTCGTCCTATGCATTCCTCTATATGTTAGCTAAGGCCTATTTTCCTAGTGTGAGGATGACTAATTATGAACTGCCATCTTTAGATTGCCTAGCCTAATTTTCTAATAGAATATTCGGGGTAACCTTTGTATGTTAATATGTATATCAATTTCTCTGAGTTGTACGAACATTTATTTCGAATTTCGAATTTTGAATTTGGATCCTTTTTTGAACTTAAAAGAAAGACACACACACGCAAACAAGTGTATCTATCTCGCTATATATATAATGTATATATATATATATATATATATATAACGTCATCCACAGACAGACTGTTTCGCTGTTTACAGCTCATCAGTGTGGCTAGACATCCGGTTGCCTCTAGCTAGGATCGAAACCCGACTGAATTGGTGTCAGTCGGAGCTTCTAACCACTAAGCCGTCGGTAGGGTTGAAGGTGGATTTTTAGCATATTTATTTTTAGAAACATGCCCAGTGACTGACAGTGACTCAATTCGCTTTCGTGAAGAGTCTCGCTATATATATATATATTGTATATTTCTGTTTATACGTTATTTTTAGAGATACAATTAAGAAAATTAGTCTGTTTATAATAAACAGTATTAATCACATTTTCCGGTCTGAATATCAGAGAAATACTGTATATTATGAACAGAACATTTACTTAAATGATTGTATCTATAAAAATAACAGGAAATATAATAAGACCACAGCCGAACTTAGTCCATTCCATTATATATATATATATATATATATATATATATATATATATATATATATATATATATATATATATATATATATATATATATATATATATATATATATATATATATATATATATATATATATATATTATTCGTCAGAGTTGAATTAGACCAGGAAAACTTAGTATTAAAAAATAATAATAACAATTAACAATGATAGCATTTCCAGTCAAAAAAAAAACTTTCTGAATGAGAGACTAGAAATAATGACACGGTGTTTACAGACAAAAAATTACTTTTGAGTTCGTTAGTTCTGGTTCACTCTGCCAGAAATTGGGAAACGGAATGTTGTACTGCTTGGCATTCGCACCTGAAGCTCAAATTGGAACATTTCAGAGTGCTGAATGTGCAGAGTATTCGTAAAGAGGTTGATGATTTACCAATCATCATGGTGTTTGGAATGATCACTGGTGATGGTGACGTTATGCCTCCATTCATCTTCCCACGTGGCCACATCTTTTCGGGGACGCCCACATCAAGTGCCCTTAGGAGATAGTGAAATCCTGGATCAAGACGTTGGCTACTAGAAGACCCTATGTGTGGGAAACGGATTCTGCGCCATGCCACACAAGCAGGAGAATCCCGTCATGGCCGTCAGACAATTTCCTCGACGATATCACCCCCTACATCTGGTCATGTAACTCCGCAGACTACAACTCCTTTTGATTATTATGTTAGGGGCGCAGTTGAGTGAGAGACCAACAAAATTTCTTGTAAGACCAAAGATGAACTGAAGGCAAGGATTGTGGTAGCATTCACCATCTTAAACAAGTAGAATGTCCAAAAGAGTTACAGGAGATTCCGGAATCTTCTGGAGGCTGTAGTTGAAGGCAATGTCGATTTTATTGTATTTACTCTTTAGATTTTCAAGTTATTTTTGTGTAACTTTGGTAAATATATCTGTTAAAATATGATGTCAGTGTTAATTTGCGTAATTTAAACGATAATCTATCTATCTATCTATCTATCTATCTATCTATCTATCTATCTATCTATGTGTTTTTCTTATTAAACCATATGCAAAAATTCTTAACTGAGATGAATCACTCTGCTTCTCTTCATATTTGCTTCTTAAGAAGTAAGTTTCATTCGGATAGCTCCTTTCCAAAAACGGTTACTTTTTGGAACATACTCGTAGGTGTATGCTTTTCCGACCAATCACTCATATCCGCATATATTGCATCTATTAATCTCACTGTTAACACAAGAATCACCTGCAGTAACTCTTTACATTTAATATTACTTGGGCCTTGTATACCTTGAATGTTAGTAAAATAAAAACAAATACTACTACAATTTCTTTATTATTAATATTATTATTAAAATATATTTTTGGCATTTGTTTTATGTCGGGACATATCCAAGCGAAGAATATGATTTTTTTTTGCTTCTACTTAATTAACAAAAGTCAGCTTATTAACAATACCAACAAATCATTTAATTGGATAAATTTCTTAGCGGCATACAGGTTATACTCACGAAAACTGTTTGTTGGATTTCCTGTAAAAGTGCACAATTTAGGATTGTCGTTGAGTTCCTTTCTGTATCAGACCCAAAACTCCAACCATAACAGGAAGAATTTTAGTTTTTAAGTGCCATATTTTCTATGTCTATTTTTAGGCCTTAACATTTGCTAAGCTTAAAAACAAAACAAAAAAAAACACAATACTTTGCATATATGATTTTTATCTATTGAGACTCTAATATCAATCAGTGTGTAACCTTTTTCTTTTCTATCTATGTTAATATTGTCTGCTCAATTTGCTTGTATTGTTCGATCCATGTTGACAGAAAAATCCCATTATTATTATTATTATTATTATTATTATTATTATTATTATTTAAACTGTTTCTCACAGACGAAACGTCACAGGCCTCCCATTGCTCTATCTAATATCATCGAAAGTATTCAGACGGAACACATTCCTTGGTATCACTAGTCCTAACCTTCACGGATAAGACCCGCCATGTTACGCCCTTGATCTTCAATTAGCGGCATGTAAGTTCCACTTGAGTGGCTTCTCACGAACCGCTGTTTTGTGAAGCCGATTGCCAAGAGGATGCTTCCTTGATCCGTACAATTTTAATCTGTTCATGTCTAAGATTAACCGTCATATTCCCCACATAACTGCATAAACTGTGTCGCTTAATCTGTAAACCTTTTCCTCGAGTGGCTCTCGCACTTTGTCTAGAGTGAACATCAATGTAAAAGAAAAAGTCCGCATATTGTTTGTTTGGAATAAAAAGGCAGCTGTAACAGATTTAAAGTTATTTCGGGATATAAAAAACAAAATCACATATCGCAAATAGACAGGGGTGGACTTGGTTGTCGGAAAACACAGGAAAGATTTCTGAAGCAACCAAATAATTTTTTTAATTAAATTTTCTCTTCAATGATCTTTTTTTCGCCGTTTTTATCTACAAGCTGTCTCTTCGAAAGCAAAACTGTGATTTAAAAACAAATTATAATCCTATTTTTTGAAATGCCAAATAAACCAACCTTGACCGTGCGTAAAAACCAATAGAAATAAATGTATATTCCTAATAAGAAATGCTTGAATAACACTGAACGCTTATTTTTACAGGTTATTTGAGGTTGGAGATGGATCAGGTTAATGACCGGAGCAAAACAATTTTGGTTGAGGAATGAAAAAGAAATAAGACCGAGAAGTTAAGGGGAGGAAATATTTTGATTCGACTGTGACAGATCTTCAGGAAGATTTTGCTCCGGGGCTGTAAAAGGTGGTGCATTTTTATGGACTTTTAAAGATTTTTGCTTCGTGTGTGGAGGAAAGTGCAGATTTGAGCATAGAAACATCAATTCCACAAAGAAAAATTAGAAGAAAGATAAGGAGAGAAAGACGATGAATTTTGAGGTGAAATAAAAAAGAATGGGGCAGCATCAAGTAGAAATAAAGGAAGAAAGAATGAATGAAATTTAAAAGAAAAAAAGAAAAAAGAAGAAGCAGAGAATAAATAGAAAATCGAAGGAAGTCTAAGTAGAAAGAAGAAAAGAATGAGATAATGAGAATCAAAGAGTAAAATGAAAGAATAAAAAACTAAAGAAGAATGTAAGAAAGAAAGAAAGTAAGAAAGAAACAAAGAAACAAAGAAAAATGTAAGAAAGAAAGAAATGAAAGAAAAAGGGAGTGGAAAAAATGTTGAAAAGAAAGAAAAGGATGAATGAAAAAATTGAAATATTAAAGAGTTGTAAGAAAGATGAAGGAAAAAATCAAAGATGAAATCGAAAGGAATGTGATTAAAGAGCAACTGAAAGAGAATTAAAAAAGAAAGAAAGATAAATGGAAAACGGATGTAAAGAAAAAAAGTGAGAGAAATACAGAAAGGAAGAAAACTATGGCTCGCATTAAGAAAAAAGAAAAAAGGAAAAAGAATGAATTAAATTTGAGAGGAGAAAAAGGGAATAATGAAGTAGATAATTTAAAGGAAAATCGAAGCCACGGAAAAGAAAGAAGAATGGAAAAGAATGAATGAGGAAATAAATAAATTAAAAAGAAAGAATGAAAGGAAGACTGAATAGAGATGAAAGATAATGAACGATTAAAAAACAGAATGAACTAAAAATACAAGTGAAAGAAAAAGAGAGTGGAATAACAAAATACCGAAAGAAAAATAAAAGAAAGATGAAGGAAGAAAAATATAAAAGAACTGAAATATGAATATTAACAAAGATGAGAAAAGAAATGCAAGTTGCCATCGAAGTGAATGGGTTTAAAGGAGGAAGAAAGAGATTGAAAAAAAAAAGAAAGAAATAATGAGGAAAAGAGAAAAGTGATAAATTTAGAAATAAAAATACGGTCCCTAATAGTAAATAGAAAGAATGAAAAATAGAAAGAAAGAAAGAAAGAAAGAAATAGACAAAGAAAGAAAAAATAACTTAAATACAAGATAGAATCGAAAACGAAAGAAAAGAAGGGAATATGAAAAATAAAAAAAAAACATTAAAGAAAAAAGATGAAAGAAAGGAAAGTAAAATTGAAAAAAAGTACAAAGAAAGATCGGAGGAATCAAAGAAAGAAAAAAGGAAAGAAAGAAAATAAAGAAAAGGAATTTGTTCATATGAGGAAAATTATAATAAAGAAAGATAAAAACGAGACGAACTAAAAAAAAAGAATAAAGGAAAATAAATATAACTAAAAGAGAGAAAAATGGAAAGAAAAAAAACGAAAAATCAATAAGATTTAAAAGAAATAATAGCTGAGAGAATACTTCAAAAGTCAACGAACAAAAAATAAGATGGAAAAAAATGTTTTCCAAGAGAGAAAAAAAAAATTGAAAATCTTCATTATGGAGACGGGGCATAAAAATTGTTCCACAAAAGCCCCGAAGTTTAGCGCCTTAAAGACGATTAAAATTCTTTCAATCAATTTGTCCAGTTGGTTCGAACAATTAATTAAGCTTCCTGGTTATTGTAAAATGTTCGAAGACTGTTGTAGATCTGTTCTTAATATATATATATATATATATATATATATATATATATATATATATATATATATATATATATATATATATATATATAAAGGAAAATCTTACGCAAAGAGGGCTTACATTCACATCGCTTTCAATTACAGGTTTCCGTAAGATCACGTTAAACAACGATGAGCTTGGTCAGTACCTAAGCTTCGATGCGTGAATGTTATAAGGGAAAATGGCCGTGTTCCAATTCCTGTTGGGTCCATTATATTCACTTACGCGCAAACGTGAAGTAATGGATAGCCTCTGGGATTGAGAAAGCAGAGAGCTGAGTTCGAATTTCAGTCGAATCCATTACATTTACTTATGTGCTAATACCCTTGGGAAAGATATGAATCATCTTCTTCTAACAGCTATGGGTAAATATCAGGATAGATCGATTTCTATAGACTTGCATGGCAACTGGTCTACTACAGAAAGAAATGGCAAACTACTGCGGGAAAAAAAATCTGTCTCGCCAGTCATGCATCGAAAGATAAATGATCACCTAAGCGTGTATCCCGCATGGCACGTAACTGACTCTTGGGAAAGGTATGAATCATTTTTTTTCTCCCAGCTATGGGTAAATAGCAGAATAGATCGGGTTTTATAGACCTGGATGGCAAATGGTCTACCGCAGAAAGAAATGGCAACCTACTGCGCGAGAAATCTGCCTCGTCAGTCATATATCGAAAGATACATGATCCCGCATGGCACATAACTGACCATTGGGAAAAGTATTAATCCACCTATTCTTCTATTATGGATAAATTAGTAAGACTTTTATCACTAAATCATTATTATTCACTGTTGTATTCGTATGCAAATCTCCAACATATAAATAGTAGTTAACACAGCTGGAAGCTAGACAAATTCTAACCTTGAAGACGAAACTACTAGATAAATAATAGTTAATAATTTTAATTAATTATAGTTTACAGCATTCTATGCACTACTGTTTCTCCAGTAGTTTCGTCTTCAAGGTTAGAATTTGTTTAACCTCCAATTGTATCAACTGCTATTAAAAGGTAAATATTTGCATTCCCCACCGCTATATTTTAATTAATAAGAATGGTATCACTAGACTGTTATTATCTCCAAAACAGAATTCCTAAAATTTAAAAAAATATGAAATAACTTTAAATAACCTCTTGATAAGCTGTAGAAAGTGAATCAATCAATTCTCCAAAGAACTTTTAAATATCTTATTCTTGAATCGGTTGACCAAACAATGAGTGCTGTATCGAGTCTGAAATTGAGAATTTTTTTGGTCCAGCTATTTGAAGATAAACCGTCACAATTCCAAGATGATTTTTTTTTGTCCCATACAGTGTAAAAACGTTGCATTCCTAATCTAGCAAAAGTGATATTCTGTACCAAGACTTTATACTAACCAAACATTGTCTTGCTCGCAGTAACAGCCAATGTTTCCAACAATTTCATCAATGACTGAATTTTCGTATGAAAGGAAAAAATAGCAATTTTTCAAGAGATGTTATCATTTTCTTTTTAGATCGGTGGCGAAAACCTCCAAGCAGAGTAAAAGAAATATGGTCAAGCATTTGACTTTTGTAAGGTATCATCAGGGTAGGTAGAATGAGTTGGTGAGTTTCGTAGAACTAGTGGTTTTTGTGACGAAGACAAACGTATTGTGACGTAGGCGATGTGCGACGTATTGTCGTCTCTAGGTACCCCGAGGCAAACTTATGTAAGTCAAAATCATGGAACATATTCCTGTATTTTTCTTCAAAAATGAACTTCGGCGAATTCTTGACGGAATTTTAGCATCGTGTGAGAAGAATCTTTCGAAATTTAGAATAGTCTGTCATTAAAAATTAGTAGACACGTCTGTCTCATTTAATATTTACCTTAAATAATATATGTTGCTTAAGAAAAATAATATATATATATATATATATATATATATATATATATATATATATATATATATGGAGAGAGAGAGATGAGAAAGAGAGAGGAGGAGAGAGTGTGAGAGGGAGCGAGATAAAGGTAAATGTCCACTAGATTGAGTTTGAAGGAATTTACAAAGTCGAAGTAAAAAATTTAAATAGCTACTGCAAAATATACGTGTGATGTGCTGAAGGGAGCTTCAAGAAAAGGTAGTATAATCGTAAGTTATTATTCAATCGGGAATACCTTAGGAATTCTATCATATTACCTAGCTGTGTTTGGGAATTAAAAGAAAAATAACAACGATTAAATTGTAAACTGGAAAATATGGAAAAAAAAAAGGCAAAACTTACACCAATCGTTGTGATATCTGCAAATTGTGCCAGGAGGAAAATTTGACACTAATAGCATTTCCAGACCTCACAAATCTACTGAATGAAAGGTCGGAAATAATGACACGGTGCATGCACACTAAAAATATCCTTTTGAGTTCGTAAGAACCAGGATGAAATTATGTATATATTATTTAATCCCCCTCCAATATAATTTCAATTCTCTTGCTTTCTTCCTTCCATTTTATTATAATTCACGTTGTGCGTTTAAATATAAATAATAAAGCGAATCATTCGACCCAAACAGCCTGAGGATATCGAAAGTTTGAAACCAAGGTAGCATGATTAACTGCTCTCCTATTTTTAAACGCACACACACACACAGACTTATATATATATATATATATATATATATATATATATATAAAAAATAACACATACACACACACAAATATATATGTGTGTGTGTGTGTGTGTGTGTGTGTGTGTGTGTGTGTGTGTGTGTGTGTGTGTGTGTGTGTTCAGAAACAGACAGAGGTAGAAAGCCGATTTTCTGGTAAAAGAAGCAAAGCGACCTCATTTAATCCGGGCATAATTTTGAGTACGTTCTTAAATCTCATGTGATTGTTAGGGTAATTCCTTGGGTGGCCACAGATGGCGTTGTGTGGAACACATGATCTCTTAATTGTTTACACTGCTGAGGTTAGTGCAGCTTTATCGATTTTTGTTTAAATCCTAGCCTATTATATATATTTACCATTAGTTCGGATTTCCATTTAAAGAGCAAGTGTAGTGATATATTTTAAATTGTACTTAATCTAAGTTCATAATGTCGATGTTGGTGTTCTTTTACGCTGATACAGTGTAACCCGGATATAAGAGACCCGGATATAAGAGAAACCCGGATATAAGAGAGATTTTCTCTGGTCCCAAATTAGAGCCTGTGTTAATGTATATAAAGTAGACCATACCCGGATATAAGAGAAACCCGGATATAAGAGACTTCTTCTCCGGTCCCGACAACTCTCTTATATCCGGGTTACACTGTAGTTGTTATTTCAACAAACGTATAATCCAGCACGATTCTGGATTTATCTGATGTGTTTTTTTTGGGTTTTTTTTTCACAGATTACCAACACATTGGTGGTGATTTAAAAACGGAATACAAGTTAATTTAATATAATTTTACATTAAGAATTATTTGGAAATAACAATGGTGTTGCCTTAAATAAGTAATATTATTTAACACATACGATGATGTGAAAGATTCATACTTTTCCCAAAAGGTATCTTCGCTAAAGTGAATGTTACGTACCCGACTGAAATTGGAACTCATCACTCATATTAGTCATGTCGAGCTATACAATACACCACCCACTCATCACACTGATAAATTTTAATTTTATGGTACGCTATATTTATGGGTTAAAGTGCTCAATATCAGAGATAGAGCGTGTGTAAATATAAAAGATTAAGTTAACACCCAGAGTCGGCAGTCTGTTTCATGATGGTCTGAGCATGAAACAAACCGTTGAATTCAATTTCTACTGGCATATATATATATATATATGTATATACTGTTGTGCGGTTCCCTCTTTTTGCATAAGATGGACTAGTACAAAGTATACTTATACTGACGGAGAGAATACCTGCTGTTGAGATACGACGCGATACAGTCCTTGACTGTTAGCGCCGTCTGTCGAACTCTCTACTTTGCCAGAGAGGAACCCGGACGAAGGTTTGCCTTGTGCCACATATATTCCTCGTTGGTGGGATATTAAATACCGAGATACGTTGAGATACGTGGAGATACATTGAGATACGTGGAAATACGTTGAGACAGGTTGAGAGATACGGGGACAGGCACAGGGTGTTCTCAGAGAGTTATACAAGAGTCCAGAGAGAGAAAGAGAGAGAGAGAGAGAGAGAGAGAGAGAGAGAGAGAGAGAGATGATTACGGCTTTACTTACAGAGACTTGTACGTATACTTTCTACTAAC